CCTGTTGGTGAGAATTATATTATATATATATATATATATATATATATATATATATTTATGGATCGGGCTGCACGCCGCAGCGATATTGAATGTATATGGATCGGGCTGCGTGCCGCAACGATGTATTGGATCGGGCTGCACGCCGTAGCGATATAGCACTTGGGTTGTAGGAGCCTTCCGGAGTTTGCACACCCCCAGTGAGCGCAGTCGACTATATATATATGGATCGGGCTGCACGCCGCAACGGTTATTATAAGGTACCTATTGAGCGTGAGTGCTTGGTGTGAGCGCTGATTGAGGAGAGTTGAGTCTCGAGTGACTGAGAGGCTTGCCCGAGGGGCTATATGTATATGAGTAATGCTTTGCCCGATGGGCTTGTTTTATAAAATTACTGATTTCACTTCTCCTTAAAGTGAGTCTATATTGAATATGTTGGACTAAATTACCGATTTCACTCATCTTTATACTGAGCCTGTATAGAAAATGTTAAACAAATGTTTTGAACAACTTTCATTGAAACTGGAGTTTTTGCGAGATGTTCGGAATTTAATCACCGATTTGGCTTTGTTATTCCTCTGGCACTTTTCCTGTTTTGAGATGTATATGCTTTATGTTTTGCCCGAGGAGCCGTATACGAACTACGCTGAACCTCTACTGAACTGTTAAAAAGACATTTTTCAAAGGATTTTTTTTACTGAAGTCGGAGTTTTAACGAGATGATTTGATTTATATCCTGTTTTGGAAACATACCGTACCCACTGTGGTGCTATGTCGTGGTTTACGTGATTTCTTATTACTCAGTAATTATTTAATTTTATTACTTACTGGGTTGGCGTACTCATATTACTCCCTGCACCTTGTGTGCAGATCCAGATTTTTCTGAGCTCGGTGGCAGGTTCATTGGATATTTCAGGCTTATATTGTATTAAGTAGACAGTGTTGAATTGTATTTAGTGGCTCATGACTAGTGACACCCCGATGTCGGGCTTGTGTATTTATTTCGCACTATTCATTTAGATTTACATCAGGAGATTGTTGATTAATAAATGGTATAAAAAGGACTTTTATTGAAAAATGGTTAACTCGGGAGTTGTGTCGGCTGGCCTAGTTCCACGATAGACGCCATCACGACCGGGTCGGTTTTAGGGTCGTGACACTTAGGACTTGAGTCTTTGGTGCAAATTGTATCATGTGAAGGCCGTGTACGCGAGGTGACGAGTATGTGCTCGGACTTATTTGTTGAAATTTGACTGTTTAGGGCTCTTAGATTCTCATGTTCATTAGATATGAAATTTTTTGTCATATTAAATCCCCTATTTTTGCTAAATTCTCCCTTACGTGTCTTATTTGGAATTAAATTGCTTCATGGTCTACCCTTATTGCCTATTAAAATCTTATGAGCCTTAACTAAAGTTGTTTCCTCTTTTATTGCCATGCTATCCTTTCCCTAATTGTTCATCCTTAATTGAAGTTATTATTGTCTTTTCCATAATTGCTTATCCTTAATTAAATTTATTGTATTTCTTCCGCGATTGCTCAACCCCAAATGAAGTTTTGTTATCACTTATCATTGTTGGTTATCCTTATTTGGAATCATTGATTCATGATGTCCCTTCTATCGCCGAATTATACTTTTGTGAAATCATTGCTACACATCCCTCACATTAGTCTTGCCATCTCCAGGGTCCTCAAGGGACCAGGGCTAGTTGGCTTGCATCTATGGTTCCTTTCTCGCATGTTTCAGGCTATTCCAGTGTGATTCCGAGTAAGATCGTCCTATATTGACTATGATCTATGGGTTTCTAAGCATGTTTCTTCACCTCTGTGTTGTTCTCTTCGAAACCCTAATTTCTTTTTCTGAACCTCTTAGATCTGCACAGATCTGAGATGATT